GATTTTGCTCTACGCAACTTTATTTCGATAAAACAGTGCCTGATGGCCGATAAGGTATTTTTTTTCAGGTTAAGTGGCCGAGAATGGATGGCTACATTCTCGGTTACTTGACGAGGGAAGTTGGAAGTGAAAGTTGCAGATTCTAGCCTGAAATCAAGGCTAGAGGTTCAGTTTTCTTCGTCAAATGTGGGCATACACGTATCGACCCATAAGGGACTTGATTCCTCTAGGAATCCCTTCAAAAGCTCTATGCCACGCTCCACGAAAATGGTGTTCCTTTTGAAAATGTGGCCTTATGGAAATAGTTTCGTTGAGGGAAACAGCTCCTTGGAAAAACAGCTCTTCTGAAAAACAGCTCCTCGGAAAAACCCTAAGTAATAGAAGCATTCTATGAACAACCATTACTTAAAAATTGAAAAAGCCTTACCACGAGGAGGTTCAAAACTCAAACAGTAATCACAAGACTTTTGATTTATATTTTTTCGGTATTAAATAGATTTTGCCCTACGCAACTTTATTTTGTTACAACAGTGCCTGATGGCCGATAAGGTATTTTTCTTCAGCTCAAGTGGCCGAGAATGGATGGCTACATTCTCGGCCACTTCACGAGGGAAGTTGCAAGTGAAAGTTGCAGATTCTAGATTGGAATCAAGACTAGAGGTTCCGTTTTCTTTGTCAAATGTGGGGGTACACGTATCGACTCATAAGGGACTTGATTCCTCTAGGAATCCCTTCAAAAGCTCTATGCCACGTTCTATGAAAATGGTGTTCTTTTGAAAATGTGGCCTTATGGAAATGGTTTCGTTGAGATAAACGGCTCCTCGGAAAAACAGCTCCTCGGAAAAACAGATCTTCGGAAATATAGCTTAATAAAAACAGCTCCTCGAAGAAAACCGCTCTTCGGAAAAACCCTAAGTAATAGAGGCATTTCATGAACAACCATTACTTAAAAAAAAATTAAAGAAGATTTACCACGAGGGGGTTTGAAATTCAAACAGTAATCACAAGACTTTTGATTTAAATTTTTTCGGTATTAAATGGATTATCGCCCTACGCAACGTCATTTCGTTACTACAGTGCCTGATGGCCGATAAGGTATTTTTATTCAGGTCAAGTGGCCGAGAATGGATAGCTACGTTCTCTGTCACTTGACGAGGAAAGTTGCAAGTGGAAGTTGCAGATTCTAGCTTGGAATCAAGGTTAGAGGTTCAGTTTTCTTCGTCAAATGTGGAGGTACACGTATGGACTCATAAGCGACTTGATTCTTCTAGGAATCCCTTCAAAAGCTCTATGCCACGCTCCACGAAAATGGTGTTCTTTTGAAAATGTGGCCTTATGGAAATGGTTTCGTTGAGGGAAACAGCTCCTCGGACAAACGGCTTTTCGGAAAAACAGCTCTTCAGAAAAACCCTAAGTAATAGTGGCATTTCATGAACAACCATCCCTTCTAGTCTGGAATCAAGGCTAGAGGTTCAGTTTCCTTCGTCAAATATGGAGGTATACGCATCGACTCATAAGGGACTTGATTCCTCTAAGAATCCCTTTTGGTTTCATTGAGGGAAACAGCTCCAATTATATTTGAAAAAAAAAAAAACAATTACTAACAATATCATTTCACATGCTGCAGAACAAGATCCATACATCAATATTATTTGCACGAATTCATAATTAATCACTCTCTCATCTCTGGTCTGGTTATTAATAATCAAATTTCCTGTAGGTAAACATTTTAAAACACAAAATATCCATTTACGCAAAATCGTATTAGCGCGCCCTTCGTGAAAATAATGGGTTTACATAAGGGCGAGGAAATTGATAGCCGGAATATTATATGAAAATTCAGGTGGATGATTTATAACTATTGAATGGCTCTTTTGCCCTTTGAATTTATATTTTTCTCCAATGAAATTGTATGTATTGAAATCTATAAGGATTTATGTCTTAATTTATAACATCATCAGTAGAAGAAAAAAGACAGCTCTGCAATAACCCTTCACTGGTGATGCAGAACTGTCTTTGTACATTTACTAAGAATATTTTTCTTTTTATACAAATATCTAATCGAGCTCCTCTGGTATTTATCCTTAGACCAATATCGACTCATTAATGTCCCAAAATGGTGGGTAATTTGTAAAGGAAGTGTGTCGGAGGGTTTTGGGTCGTTACCGTTGTGTGCCGCAGCTGCACGACTGCAACTTGCGACCGAACGGACGTTTCTTGAATGCCTAATGACCGCTTCTATCAAGTTTCGAGGTCTCGTTTGCGGCTGTCGCAAATTTCCTCCTTCTCTAATGTCTATTGTGTCTTCTTGTGGAATTTAAAAACTTGCACACACCCCACAATAATAATAATAATTATCGTTTAAAACGAGTGAAGTTTTTTTAAAAAGTTTTTTGTGTCAAAATCAAATGTCACAGACGTCACAATTTGACAAGAACTTAATTGTTTTATGTCAATGCCGAGTCAGTTGATTGATTTTGAAATTAAATTTTTAATTATTCCCGACTCTTGATTCGAATCAACAATCATTTTTATTAACTTTATGTTTGTAAAATGATGTGAACTACGCCAATGTGCTTCAAGCTCCGCCCCGCGACTCATTTACCAATCCGCCATGTTAATTTTCAAAGTGGGTGGAGCCTAAATGACATTGGCGTAGATATATATATTTTTTTTTAAAACATTTTAGAGCCACAGTATTCTATCAAGCACCGGGAATAATCACTCAATCAACTAATTCTTTAATGTAGCAAGTGAACTCATTTCATCGATTAATATAAAATTAAGTTTTCACAAATTATACACTCCAAACGCGAAATAAATAATTTCTCTTTTAATTTAATTTCGAAACCCCTTTCTGTCTCACTTTTGGAAAACGGACAAAGGAGTATCTGAGCTGTGTAAAATCCGGTGCGGCAAATTTTGCCTCCCTTTATTACTACACTCTTTCTTTTTCGCTCTGGAGCTTTGTTTGATTTCTTTTTAATAGTCTCCGAGTCCTAATTAGTAAATCTGATTGTCCGAAATTCTATATGTATTTAATTTTAATAAAATACAATACATCATTTACGGCCATATGGCCAATTAGTCCAGATGTATTATAAATATTATCAATTCAATGCGGCGTTCATTTTCGTATAAATATTTATGGATTCCAGATGCAATTTCCAACAATGCGCTCGCGATTCGGTTTCCATATGGTTTTGACAAAAATTAAATTCGGCCAGAAAGTAATGGACTGGAAACTGGACTTTTTAACACCCAGCCTATTATTTTTTCTATTGGTATTATTGTTTATTTATTGGTAAAAATGTAACAATAATATTTAATTGAATCACTTTTTATTTTAAAACTTTTAGCCCTAATCAATGTGTAAGTTTTTTTTTCTAAATTCTACACTCTCAAGGGTGTTACCATTCAACAAACAAAACAAAATATTTATTTTTCGTTTTATTTTCTTTTCATCTCCGTAGCTGTACGCAATATCGCTCGAAAATTACCCCCGTCTTCGGGGAATTTTTCCCTGCGTCAGAAATTTAAGTTTTCCGATCAACTGTTGCGAGTTATCCAATTTTGAATATTGACTTTTATACGAGATGCCGATACCAGCGATCTCGATACGTGTATTTCCCCGCTGAAAATTGGGATGTTTTGAGTGAAGATGGGGGAAATTATCCAGTGGCGTTCTAAGATTTGTTCCTTTATTAATTTATATATTTTCTTTGCAACTTGATACAATTCTCTATACTGCACCTTTTTCAATAAAAATGCAATTATTATTCTACCCTTTTTTTTCTTATTTTCTTCCGAACTATCAGGAATAAACCTAAAAAACCTAGTATATTTGGAATCAGGTTTGAATGAAGATTCCATTTAAAAAAGCAGAACTTTATTTGGCGTTACTTTTGTGACACACCCTATATAGTTGGACATATTTCATTGAACATTACATTTCTGGGTGTCTCTTCAAACAGGTGAGATAGGTGTGGATATATAGACAATCATCCAGTACTAGGTCTGTGCTCATCATGAATCAATAATTTCCAAATAAATATTCAATGCATTGACTTAAAAACAGATAACTGTTATGCCTAATCGAAACATGTCCAAACGAGCCTCGATTTATTACAAATCCCCCTCAATCGTTGAAGGAAACCATTTTTCCCTCCTATCGTAAAAAACCGAATGACTGAGAGGTGTCATCTAAAATACGGACATTTACCGTCCCTTGAGACCCGCAGTAAATCCACTGCGTGCCTCAGCGGACATCCTCCGTCCTCCGAACTTTTCTTTTTAAAGGCTGACAAAATTAATGCGAATTCCATACAAATTCGTCGGTTGTCTCTGTCGCTAATTGGCACTCGTTTGACTGAAAATTTGATCCATCGAACAACGAATATATGTGTTCTGGCGCGGATAATCGCTCTGTCAAAAGGGTCTCTTTGGTAATTAATATTGCGTGCGAATTGTGATGCGACCCGATAAATTTCTGTAACTACCTGGATTGTCATTTACCGCGAGGCTAATAATAGTCTATAGTTTTCACTGTGTGTGTAATATTTAATGCAAACCAAACATTAATTTATTTATAATTATTAATTATACATAATTGCGATATGATATTGGGAAATTCCAATACGATTTTATTATTCTATAATAGGTAAGTATCAAATTGACTTCGGTAATGTTTTTTTGTTAGATCTCCACATTCATCTTTTGACAGGTGATTATCACTCTATCTATCAACATTTTGTCAATTTTTTTTAAAAATTGGTACGGTTTTAGGGCACTTATGGCCCTTTTGTGTTGAAAATATGAAAAAACTAGCTTCAACAAGCAGTTGGTTTAAATTAATTATTATACAGACCAGCCACAAAGATTATTATAAATTATCCCAAAATAGCAATTTATAATAGGATTTCCTTTTCCATATTGAAATTCAAATGATGAAAAAAATTAAATTTGAATACTTAAGGCTTTGTGCTATTAAAAATCTTGGGTAGCAAATTTTTAAATCGGATTTATTTAATTTTATATCATAAATATTTATCATAATTGAAAATAATCAAGCCCCAAATTGTATCCTATAATGGGAAGCATGACAAGTAAAAGTACTCTTGTGATCATCATAGGCGTAGCTATAAGCGTCCGGACATTGTCCTTTGAAAAAAGCCGGATAATTAACTGGCCAAGTGGAACTTTTACAAGTTTCCGGCTTATTGTATGCACCTAAAAACCAAAAAAAAAAAAATCAAATCGAATCCAAAATTTTTGTTGGTAGTACCTCGGCAACAGTACTGATCCGTATTGAACTTGTTGCAAGCGGAATTACAAGCGATCGTCATGCCGTTGTGTTTGATTTTTAGTACTTCTGGACATTTGCCGTTGACGTCTGCCAGGCAATTGATTCTCTTGCAGGTGTAGTGGCCTCCGGCTCTGGATCTGCCACCAACAGGTTCAATCTGGAATGAGTTTTTGAGTAAAGGAATTCAGATAGCTCAGAAACTTTGTGGCTATTTAAATCTAATTTAGTACAATTTATAGAGAATTTAATGCTCTTCAAAATGATATACGATTGAAGTTATTTTGTTCAAAAATTATTGGAAATATGAGCCAATATTCATAACTATGTCAGAATTTCTTGTGAATTTTTTTTCTGTTTGAATTTCTCATTTGAGAATGATGTTAGAGTTGTTTTCGACTTATTTAGATTTGCTCTATAGATTGGTGAAGTCAAAATTTCAAAAAACTGAAAAATTTCGGACGCCCATGCATTATAGACTCCACCCACTTTGACACACTTGCTATATGGGAGAAAGGAGGAGCTTGAAACAAAGTATCGTAGCAAAACTTTTTTTTAAATTCATAATAGCAGTTCTACTTACAAAAGCTCTGATATTAAAGCCGTCCACCAGCGATACGTCATAATAGTCCAATCCACCCCAGCCTTTAAGAGTGATTTCCACTAAAGTCACTGGTGGAACTCCACCAGCTCCGTTACATTCCAACTTGTTACCGCAATCTCCAGTCAAGCAATGCTTACTGCCGGGATCGCACCAGGTTCTGCCCCAAAATCTTCCTGCCCAGTTATCTGGAGCTGATAACGTAACCTACAGTAATGGAAGTTGAAATTTAACTTGCATGAAAACTTCTACGCCAATGTTTTTTAGGCTCAACCCCCTTATAGATGGGGGTGGAGTCTAGGACACATTGGCGTAGTTCAACATCATATTTCTTTTAATAATTTCTCTAAACTCTGGAGATAAAAACAATATATGAGACCTAAAAAATTTCCACCTCCAACCAAATATGAGATGAGAATTTTAAGGAAGTTTTGTGGAATAAAAATTGAAGCAAAATGTGAAAGTTACCGTTTGTCCTTTGTTCAAAGCGAAACCACCTCCATGTAAATGAGGATGTCCGGGATTTCCCTGGACGCCCACCCATACGGGACCGCCTTCCCTGTTGATTATCTCGAATTTCACATCGGCCCTTACAAGGGCAAGGGCGGCAAAAATTACAACCAATCTAATCATAGTGCCTGAAATTAAAGTTTGGTAATAATACTTAACAAATTTAACTACCAACAGTTAAATATTTATTAGTTTGCTTTATAGTTTTAATCAAGTCTTAAAAACTTTTTTGATTGAGCAGTAGTTACCAGCTTAACTGCTGGAAGTTAAAACTTTCGAGTTATAAATGGTAAATTTAATCGGCGCTTTGAATTAATTAACTGTCGCTGATAAAATTACCCTTAAAATAATATGTGTAAAGAAGAGGACACTTACCTTGTTTTTCGACGAAACTATGCAAATTTTTTAAAATGCATTTCGCATTTATTGGATAAGTTATCAGCGCCAAGTGGTTTTCCTGCATGAATTTGTTAATAATTAATTATAATTTTAAATAATGTGGTGATTGCTTAACTTATTAGTGGTTGGGTTTATTTATTAGCATTAAGGGTCCTTTTCCGATATAAATGGAATTAAATTTTTCAAAATATAATAATGGTGAAAAAAAGGCATTAATTCTCTCATTCAATATAAGTAGATATTATCGCCTTTGTTTGGAAAGTACCTACAGACGTTCAAAACGAGGAAAAGCAAAAAATATCTACGCCAATGTCTTTTAGGCTCCGCCCACTCTCACGAGTACCATGATAGAGGGCGGAGTCTAGGACACAGTGACGTATCAACAAAATTTTCTTGAAAGTAAAGTATATCGTTTTGTGTTTAGGTTACAACGTACCACCAGATAAATGAAAAAAACATCCGAAACTTGACGAATTTATTCGGAATTTCCCCCTTTTTTTTATACACGTAGTATAATTATTAGGCGCAGTAAAAACACTTCGCAAACGGTTTTTCAATTACCTATTGAAAAAGAAAGCAATACAATCTCGCCCAAATTAATTACCGGAGTATCATTAATCAAACAACAACCCCTCTTCAATCAAAACATTTGCCTTGTTTGCATATTTTCCGGTGAAAATTATAATATAAATACAAATTTATTACGCAAATTGAATAAATGGAAGAACGTGTATTTTGATTATTTTGTTAATTAACTGTGAAAAATTAGATCAAAATTCAAATTACGTTACTAGAATTGTAACAAATGACATAATGAGTATATTTTACAAGGTTTTTTCTTTTTATGTGGAATAAACGACGAATAATTGTCATCATTTATCAAAGTTTTGGAAATCTGCTCCAATAAAATGGAAATATTATGACTGCACCCAGAGAAATATTCAATTTATCTCTGTTTGGGCCCATTTTCCTGCAAAACGTGTGCATAATGGGAAGTTAAACGAAAAAACTAAATAATATCTACGCCAATGTCTTTTAGGCTCCTGCCACTTTGAAAAGTAACATGGCAGATAGGTGACTAATTCCAGGAGGAGGAGTCTACTGGGATACAATGGCGTAGTCAACATTATTTTTCTCATAAATAGAGTATTATTCATTTTATGTTTGAGAGAAATGGTATACAAAATTCATTGGGTAAAGCCAGATAAAATGAGAACAATAATATTACACAAAATTTTGGCGTATTTTGGATGAGTAGTTATTACCAGGAGGGCGGAGTCTAAAATACAATGACGTAGTCAAAATTATTTCACTCAAAAATAAATTATTTTTCGTTCTGTGTTTGAAATAATTGGTATGCAAAATTCAATGGGTGAGTAAGGGACAGAGATAAAATGAGAATAAAAATATTACACAAAATTTGGGCCTACTTTCCTGCCAAATATGTAAATAATGAATAGTTGGACGGAAAAAGTGAAAAATATCTACGCCAATGTATTTTAGGCTCCACCCAATTTGACAATTAGCATAGTGGAGGGGTAGTTATTACCAGGAGGGCGGAGTCTAGAACACAATGGCGTAGTCAAAATTTTATTCTCAAAAATAAAGTATTATTCGATCTGTGTTTGAAAGAAATGATATGCAAAATTTAACGGGTAAGTGAAAGACAGAGATAAAATGAGATCAAAAATATTTTAACAAACAAAATTTAGATCTATTTTCCTGCAAAATGTATAAATGATAAATAATTGAACGGAGAAAGTGAAAAATATCTACGCCAATGTGTTTTAGGCTCCACCCATTTTGACAGTTAGCATGGCAGATGGGTGGTTATTAAGAGAGGGCGGAGTCTAAGACACAATAGCGTAGTCAGAGGTATTTTTCTCAAAAATAAAGTATTATTCGTTTTGTGTCTGAGAGAAATGGAATGCATAATGAATAATTTAAAGGAAAAAGTGAAAAATATCTACGTCAATGTCTTTCAGGCTCCATTCATTTTGACAATCAGCATGGCAGATGGATGGTTATTACCAGAGGGGCGGAGTCTAGGACACAATGGCGTAGTTCTTATTATTTTTTTCGAAAATAAAGTATTATCCGTTCTATGTTTGAGAGAAATGGTATGAAAAATTCAGGGTAAGGGACAGAGATAGAATGAGAACAAAAATATTACACAAATTTTAATTATTCCTGGCGCTTGAGTAATCTTGTACTTGACCAATCAAGTGCTTGGAATAGAGAGAAATGGTATGCAAAATTCAATGTATAAGAAAGGGAAAGAGATATACGCGTTTGCTCCAAAAACAAACAGTGCCAGTAGGAGATAAACGTAAAAAGAATCCAATAATTAAGAAAGAGACAAATATAAAGTAGGATAATAAAAAAGTGACACGAATTTTGATTATTCCTGGCGCTTGAGTGGTCTTGTATCTGACCAATCAAGTGCCTGGAATAGAGAGAAATGATATACAAAAATCAATAGTTAAGAAAAAGACAGAGATAAAATGGGAATATTATGACTGCACCCAGAGAAATATTCAATTTATCTCTGTTTGGGCCTACTTTCCTGCAAAACATGTAAATAATGGGTAATTGAACGAAAATAGTGAATATGAATAATATCTACGCTAATGCCTTTTAGGCTCCACCCACTCTTACGATTACCATGATAGAGGGCGGAGTCTAGGACGCAGTGACGTATCAACAAAATTTTCTCGAGAGTAAAGTATATTGTTTTGTGTTTAGGTTAATGGGTGAATGAGGGACAGAGATAAAATATGAACAAAAATATTGACCTATTTTCCTGTAAAATGTGTAAATAATGAAAAATTGAACGGAAAAAGTAAAAATATCTACGCCCATGTCTTCAAGGTTCCACCCATTTTGACAATTAGCATAGCGGATGGGTGATTATTACTAGGAGGGCGGAGTCTAGGACACAATGGCGTAGTCAAAATTTTATTCTCAAAAATAAAGTATTATTCATTCTGTGTTTGAAAGAAATGGTATGCAAAATTCAACTAAGTAAGGGACAGGGATAAAATGAGACCAAAAATATTACATAAAAGTTGGGTCTTTTTTCTTGCAAAACGTGTAAATATTGAATAATTGAACAGAAAAAGTAAAAAATATCTACGCCAATGTCTTTTAAGCTCCACCCATTTTGACAATTAACATGACGGATAAGTTGTTATTACTAGGGAGGCGGAGTCTAGGACACAATGGCGTAGTCAAAATTATTTTCCTTAAAAATAAAGTATTATTCTTTCTCTGTTTAAAAGAAATGCTATGCAAAATTCAATGGGTAAGTAAGGTAGAGATGAAATGAGAACGGAAATATTAAACAAAATTTAGGCCTTTTTTCCTGCAAAATGTGTTGAACGGAAAAAGTAAAAAATATCTACGCCAATGTCATGACCAGGGAGGCGGAGTCTGGGAAACAATGGCGTAGTCAAAATTATTTTTCTTGAAAATAAAGTATTATTTGTTTGTTGTGAACCAGATTATGGAATTGAGTGCAAATTGAACAATTTTTAACTACTCCGTACATTCAAAAAGAGTACCATTCCAGAACTGTTTATTCATTCAGTGCACTCTAATTATCACTCCAACCATTTGAGCACGGCTTTTCAGAGCAAAAAGAGTAACTACTTTCTCATTTGGCTATACAGAATGGCGCAGCAGAAACTTACTCCAAAAAAGTTCCAGCTCGGAAATATTGTTCTGGTGCAACAATAAAATTGAAATCTAGTTACACCAACGTTAAGTTCGGCTTATTCACTCCGTAGGTACTCCGTCCGTATTCTTGCCTCCTTTCGTTCCAATTAAAATTATGGAACTTGCACTATTTGCTCCATTATATAAAGAGTTTCAGAATGGAAAGTGTCAAAAGAGTTGTCAAATTTTATTCCGTTTGCTCCAAAAACAAACAGTGCCAGTAGAAGACTAACGTGGAAAGAATTCAATGATTAAGAAAGAAACAAACATAAAGTAGGATAATAAAAAAGTGACACGAATTTCGATTATTCCTGGCGCTTGATTGGTCTTGTATGTGACCAATCAAGTGCCTAGAATAGAGAGAAATGATATACAAAAATCAATAGGTAAGAAAGGGACAGAGATAAAATGGGAACAAAAATATTACACTAGTAAGCCGAGAACATTGCAAAAGAAGTTTTAGTTCTTTCCTTCACGATCTGGCAACGCTGCTCCCCTTCTACGTCACTCAAAGCTTATGAGGTACATCGGAAATTCATTGGGTTTAGCTATAGATACTCTTTCTACTTTAAGTATTGATTCGTTAGTGTTAAAAGTTACTTACCAATCAGTGCGCAGTTGGCAACACTGCAACGACATTTGTGAACCAATGAAAATCGCTCCAACCCAAAAAAAATGATTTTGATTGGTCTGAAATATGTAGCCAGTGTGCGGAAAACAGTTAGCAACACTGCAACAACATCAGTTTTGTGAGCCAATAAGAATGGCGCTGGTTGAATGAGTGATTCTGATTGGTTTTGATCTAATAAAAATCGCGCTGGCTTCAATAAGCAATTCTGGTTGGTGAGGTTACAAAAACAGCAGAAAGTATCTACGCCAATGTCTTTCAAGCTCCACCCCTTTGTACGCAAATATTTCATATAGGCGGAGTCTAGGATACATTGGCGTAGTCAACATTGGTTTTCTCAAAAATAAAGTTAAATATTTTCTGTATTGGGCTTATACTGAATTTGAAACTTGTTTTCTAAACTGAGAAAAAAAATCAGGTCAAAGAACAACCAGATTAATGAAAACCCCAAGAAAAAGTCTCAGGATTGTTTTGAATCTACGCTAATGTCTTTCAAATTCAGCCCCCTTATAGGTGAATATTTCATGGGGGCGGAGTCTAAGACACATTGGTGTAGTCAACATCATTTCTCACAAATAAAGTTAAATATTTCTTGTATTGAACTTAAGTTTAATTTGAAAATTGTTCTCTGAGCTGAGGAAAAAAAAACCAGGTCAAAGAACAACCAGATTTATGAAAACGACAAAGAAGAGTCCCAGGATTATTTTGTATCT